CTCCCAACGATGTGATCGAGCGCAGCGATGGGACACTCTGGTTCACAGACCCGGATTACGGGGCCGTGGCAAAGATGGGCCACGGTGATTCAATCGAGCAGCTTCATAACAATGTCTTCTGCTTCCATCCTGCCACCAACGACATGGTTAGCGTGTCCTCAAATGAGTGCCGGCCCAACGGACTTTGCTTCGATCCTGCGGAAAAGTATTTGTACGTTGCAGACTCTGGTGCATGGTTTGAGCGTCGCTGGCATGATGGCAAGCCCCATCATGTTGTTCGCTACAGTGTTGAAACCGACGGAACCCTGAATGACCGGCACGTGATCATCCAGCTTGAGAAAGATGGAGGTGGGATTCCTGATGGCCTTTGCTGCGATGTCCAAGGCAACATTTATGTTGCTACACTTGAAGGTGTCCACATCTACACACCAGCAGGAGGATTGCTTGCCAAGATTCGAACACCGGAGACCACCGCAAATATGTGCTTTGGTGGCCCGGACAATGAGACACTTCTCATGACGTCGACAAGCTCCATATGGATTCTTGACATGTCGGTTCAGGGAGTTCCGTGTGCACTTGGCAGCCAGCGTGGAGATAGCGCGGCGGAGCATCCGAAAACAAAGAACGACAAGCCATAGAACCTCGTGTTCACATTTTGGGAGTTTTGGTACCTGTCCCCATAGTGTTCGCCTGCTTGTGCCTTCACCCTGCTTTGTTCAATGGTCAAAAGCGTAATGATGTTTACAATTAGGCTCCCTGAACAGGCACAGCCTACACGGGGCGGGTATGCGCTGTACTTGCCAATCGTCGGTGCCTCTGCTGACCAGCATTGATTCTTTGCACGAGCTCAAGACAAGGCCGAGGAGTTCTTGTTGACATCAACTGCGAGATTCCTGCGCACCTCAGCGGCACAGGGGAGATGGGACCTGTGAATCCGTAAACCTAGGCATGTACATGGTTCAGCTTGTTGCAGGCTGTTGTCGTCTGCGATGGGAACAAAGACTAGACATGAACAGAGCCACCCTTTCTCCAAGCTGTCGGCTTCTTGCGCCGACTCAAGGTTTTGGTGTCCGGAGCTGGCGCCTACCCTAGCTCGCAAGTGCTGGACACCATTGTACAAGCATACTGAAGATTTCGGTTCCATGGAGGGGGCTTGGACATGCAAGGCTTTGCCAAGCAGATGGATTGACAATGCCCATGGCTTGCGAGTGCTGTTTAGTCGTTAAGCAAGTCGGAATGCCGAGTCGATTTCATAGATTCATAAAACAAGGCCTCGGCAGCGGCGACAACAACAACAGGTGGGAGTAGTAGCAGGAATAGGAGCAGGAGGAGGAGGCGGCGGAGGAGGAGCAGGAGGGGGAGGAGGAGGGAGAGTAGGACGGGGAGGGGGATGTCAATGGCAACGTTGCAGTAGTCCGATCACTGCAGACACTGTCAACAACAGAAGTCACATCTCTTGTTGCATAAGTAAGTGAAACAGCCTAGATCCGTGGAAATCAGTATCAGCCTCGAGCTAGATCGGCCGAGGGACAAGGGTATTTAGTGGTGCTGGTTGCGCAAAAAACATACGTTCAACAAGAGCTCGTAGGATCATGCCAACATGCGGCGCTCGATGGGTGCAATTGTTGAGGTGTCTTCCCCTTCATCTTCATCTTCATCTTCGTCTCGAAGTGGATCCTCCAAATCTGAGCGCACACGTTCTGACCCAGAGGCAATGATGGGACACTGTCTGTCTGATGCTTGGCTGGGTCTTGAGGACCCGCGTCTGCCTTCTCTGCGCTGCCTCGCAGGAGCTTCCACGGCTCGGCAGTGAAATGGAGGTCTCCGTCGCGTCGCAACTTGATCGGAGTTCTGGCCTTCTGCAAGCAGTTCAATCGGGCAGGTCTATTGCTGCCCCAGGCACAGTGGGTGCCTTCGTTGTAGCCTCAGAAAGCATTGCGGTGTCTCCACTTCTGACATGTGAAGTCACGTCACCTGAGGCGCTCTCCGTGAGCCACCCCCGCGGCCGTGCACTAAGACTGCGGTTGCGTCTTGGGACTTGGGACGGTGTGAACGGCGCAGAGTCAGAGTGGGTGGGACGTGGGACTGTGTGGACGGCGCAGAGCCAGAGTGGGTGGGACCGACTCCCGCAGCACACTCCTTTGAAGTCTTGTTTTGTTGTGGCTGCTCGTGTGTTCCAGGCTGTGCTACTCTTGCCCTGCGAAGCACTTGTTTTGAGAAAGTATCAGCGTTTTGGGCTTCTTCTTGGGCCGCGCCTACCGTGATTGCCTTCAGACGCTTTTTCTTCGAACCCTGCCCATCTGTCGGTTGCCAAAGGCCGGCAAGCCAAGGTTGGCCAGGCGCGCCGGTGTTGCGCCCCTTCGTCTCGAGGAGCCGGCACCTCTGTTCCCCTCGGCTGAATGCTAGATCTTGTTCGCAGATCCAGCTTGACATGCTCGCGCGTGCTGACAAGGCTGCGGCCGGGGCTTGGACCATGGCGTCGCAGCCCCAGACTCTGAGCCTTATGCGATCCCGGCAACACGCCGGGGAACATCCAGGTGCTATTGTTATCTCTGCGACGGATGATGGCACGCCCCAGCCCCGGACACGCATCATCCTCGAGTACTGGTGCTCCACATGCTCCACATTCACATGCACACTTCTACATTTCATGGGCTAGTTTAGTCACCTCCAGTCTTGATGCAGTTGCTCGGCATCGACTGCTTTTTCCTTGGGCAGTGCTTGCAGCGGAGTTGTTGCTCTCGTGAAGTGTCACTGAAGATCAGTAGGCTTGGTAGGCTCCTGTATTGTGTTTCTTTTCGATGCTAGCTGCTAGTTGCGCGTTCTAGCCGAGTAAGGCTGGTCGATTTCAATTGTGAGATTCCAGGCCCTGCACCAAGCTCATCGGGTCATGTCTTGCGCCGGCTTGAAGCGCTACTACGAGTCGTGCTTTCCGAGGGCTGCTCCGGTCGGATCAGATTCATCTCCGTGGCGAGGAGCTGCGAGCCACAACCTTGATTTCTACCGTCTCCAGCTCTCGGAGTGTTTTTACCGGGGCTTTGCTTTGAAAGCTGCTAGACTCCTAGACGTCAGGTGTACTGCCATCGAGTCGCCCCGCCCTGTGAGGGTTGTGCCCTGCACTCGTTTAGCCGCGTTGCGGCGGTTCTGAGGATGTGCCGGTGAGGATGTGCATCGTCAGCACCGTCAAGGCGAGAGATCCCACCAAAGCAACTGAGCAACATCCCGTTTCTGCGAGGAGACGAGGGCCGAAACTTCCCGGAGGCACAGAGCACAGACCCTGAACCCCTCTGAAAGCAAAGATGGTCAGGCAACTCGAGGACCTCATCTCTGGGGACACATCTGCAAGGATTCGGGGCACAGCCGGATTCTGAGTTCCGAATCTGTCTGTGAAAAAGGGGGAACCCTACTCTGCCTTTTCAGGTCTTGCGTGTGACAGGATCCGGCGTTTTCGTAGACGTGAACTGCGAGGAGCATGCTCGAATGGAGCTGGCTGTTGCTGTGCGGGTGCGAGCTTGACTGCATCGCAGGTCCAAGGATACCTGTCGCCTATGGACATTGACATGATGGCATCCACGTCTCTTTGCAAAGGGTACGAGGCGATTCATGTTCTTTCATGGCCGAGGGTGCCGCTTGGCATTCCTTTCAGAAGTGCACATGTAGGTGACGGTGTACGTGAAGTCGGTGAACCTCGTCAAGAGACAAGTTGCGTGCGAGCCTCACGCGACCCAAGCAAAATGAAGATCTTTTGCTGTTCGGTGCAATTCTCCGGAGTCTGGCATCTGCGAGGTTGTCAATGTTTCCAATGCGCAAGGTCAGGATAATCAATGGTCAAGGCACAGCTTTGGAAGGATTTTCCGGAATCTCTTCACCAAAGGTGTCGAATCGCTGCCAGGTCTATCCGAAGCTGCATGAGCACGAGCAGAAAGGTTTTACCTTTACCAGTAGGAAAGCCAGGGGACGACCTCCTGACACGCAGCTCTCAAGCACCGGTAATGCAGCCGGATGCCCGCACAGGCAACCTTGAAACAAGGATGCTTTTTGTGGGCGGGAGTGTGACGATTGATTAGCATCCACTCGTTACGTCCCCGTGTCTACATGGGTCCGTGCAAGCGAGAGGAAACAATGTTTGGGTCAGAGCTTCTATGAGCCCTTTTTTGTTTCGGAACTTTGGCAGGCATCCCTAGTGGAAGGACTACTGTTCTGAGTTTCCTCCACGTCCCGGTCATGTTCATGCAAGGAGACTCTGTGAGTCTCCATGGGATGCCGCAAGTGGCCACAGAAGGCCGACCCGGGCCGTAGCCATCTTGCAGTGGAACGTTCCACATGTAGCATGACCCTTGGCATTCTCCCTGGTGATTTAAGTCTCTCCCAGCTGTTACTAGTAGGATGTGCTCATGTGAAGATGCTTTTGAATTTTGCGGAGCAACACCGTCGACACACGCAATGTATCCTGATCCTGCTTGTTCTATGATCCCGTTTGAGTGCATGCCCTATTGCCACGGCTGATGGATTCTTCCTTCTTTTCGCAGCCTGCGATCTCGTGAGCCCGGCTAAATCTACGTAGTAGAGTCGGGGCTGTTTGGCATTCCTGGCAGGTGTGTCGCGAGAGCGATGATAAATCTGTTGACTGCAGTTGAGTGTTAGTCTTGGAACGACAACCTCACGCTGGGTACTCATGAGTCCCTCATGAGTTCCCGATCTTGGCCTGGCTGGCTGTCGGTTGCATACTCGTAACATGCGAAGGTACTTTCAACCTTTCCAGTCTCCATGCGCCACTGCCCCAGCTGGTGCTTCCCTTTTTGGCCATGCGAATTCTGAGACTGCTACTGCCTGCCGCTCTCGATTCGTCATTTGCTCCACACCTTCAAAGTTGTCAGTATCTACCACAACCTCCACCTTTCCCTTTATAAGCAGCAAAAACCTTAAAGCGCTACGTAGCGACGTAGCGACCACCACGAGCCATGACCTGACAGCTCTGGCGACCAAAAGCTGCAGAAGCGATGGGCTTTCGAGGCTGTGACATACTGTGCGGCACTGTACGGTGTTTCATGAGATATGCTGCTGTGTTTTTGGGTCAGACTTCCAGGCTGGGTGGTGTATGGGTCCTCTGTACCGAGGCTTGCAAGCTTGCACTTTCTAAATGCGAAGTGCTCTCAAGATCTGTCGCTGTTGTTCATTCTTATTTGGATGCACGTGGTCATGCAGGTTCTTCTCCTGCTTCTATCCAGTGCGTGGATTCACGATGTGGCCGTGCGTCTGCATTCGCGAGTCGAAGGAGGAACTTGAAGGCGAATACATCGAAGAGCATCTTGGTGCAAATAAGGCTTGGTATGTGGAGCTTGGTGGTCCTTGCTGACCAACAGCGTCATAGTGAGATCCGGAAGCAAGGTTCATCAACCACGAGCAGATTCATATTGCCCAGGCAAAAACTGTGCATCTGAACGTGCATGTGTTGGATGCATGACCATGCGGGTGGGTTGGAATTCTAACCACTTTTCTGACAGGCCTCGGAGATGTGCTGCATCTTCATGTACTTGCTCTGGGTCTTCGATTTCTTGAAGGGTCTTATGTGCATTGGGTCGCGAGGCTACCAAAGCTGCGCCTGTGAATGCGATGCTAGACTTTCTTATGTATGGAATCGTCTGGAGCAAGAGGCGTTTGAACACCAGCATGATCTCGACTATCTGGACGAGCGGCCTTGTTGTGCATGGTGGCGCTATCCATCTCGTGAGGTGGCAGAAAGGTGGCTGTATTGTCAAGGCCAAGACCCCTGAGCTCAACCGTGCTCAATCAGGACGGAAAGAGCTTCCTGCATCTTCATACTCCACATGTCCGAGGACGATCTGCTATACACATGCACAAGCATGCGCCACACTTTGGATTTGCAAACCCGATGCCACGCGAAGAAGACTGGCCTCGCACAAGGAGGTTTAGCATCAGAAATACAAGGGTGCGACCGACATGGTCAGTTCAGTGAACACTCTGGCATGGTGTACAGACATCTGTAGCAGAGGTGAAAAAGCAATTGGTAGATGCGGTGATCGCTACCGTCACCCATGCTGATTGGATCTGCCATCGAGGGGCCATCGCTCATTTCCTGTGAGCCCGTCGCCTGCGAGGCGTTTCTGTCATGTTGCTTTCAGTAGCCATGAAGCCATCTTCAGCTGCTCTCGCAGCCTGGAGGATTTTGGTGCCAAGTATGAGAGCATCTCGTCCAAGGCCTTCGCAGCATGTCTCCGTGTGTTTGGATTGATATTTCGCAGGAGTCACGCTGTGCTAAGGGTACTGCAGCAGTCTATGCTTGACCCTTCCCCAATACCAGCCTTTTCTGGGATGACTTTCTCCTCGTCTTCGTAGTTGTGGTCGTAGCGTGGTCGTAGTCGTGGTCGCAGTCATGGTTGCAGATCGTAGCAGTGCTTGTTGTACTAGCCACAGACACAGCGAGCACTTCTCGTGTAGGAATCGCATAAACACCAACGGTATCAGAAGCAGGAAGGCGTTTGCAGCTGCTCTAGTTGTATTGCGATATACCTACCACGCCAGGCCCTTGACCTTAAACCGCATGTCCGCAACCGCGGACGCTCTTCCCGAACTGTACTATTCCCATGTAGCGAGTTCGGAAAATTGAGCTTTACTTACGTGTGAGAAACGAAAGGCAATGATGCCGATGACGGGTCGTCCCCGGCCGAAGGCATGCAAGTCCCCACTTCTTTCGCACCAATCCCCACGTAAGTCATTTGACATTGCTGCAAAGCGTGAAATCCGCATCGTACTGAGCAGTCGGGAGTTGTATTCTGCAAGGCTAAAGGCCTGCACCAGGGCTTTGTCGCCCTGCCTTGTCGCACCGATTGCACTCGCCGGTTGTGCACCAAAATTGCTCGTTGATCATGCCGTCAAAATGGTCGGGCAGGGATCGTGGGGCAATCTGGAAGCGTAGTCTGATGCAGCCGCTAATGCCACCTGTGCCATGCTCGCATGCAAGCTGGCAGGTGTGCGGCTGGGCTGGCGAGCTTGGGAAGGCTGTGTCGTTACAGTCCGATGGTCCTTATTTGACCATGTCCGAGCGCAACAGGACCATGACCTAAGACAAGGAACTGACTGTGCGCGGCTTTTCTCACAGCCGGCACCTTTCCAGGTGGCAGTTTTGGATTTATCGCAAAGCCGTGTGCGGAAGAAGTGGGCAGCAGGTTAGTGCAGAATTTCCCAGCAGCGAGCTGATTCCGACTGCACAACGGCAGCCTCGCCACTCTCCAAGCTTTTCTCTTCTGGCAGACGGGTAGAAACGACCTGCAAAGCTTGTGGATCAACGAGGTGTGGACTTCCTCAGCAGTGCCGCGGCCATGAAGAGCATTTTTCGGGCATCCTTTGACACGGACCCGCCGCAGCATTGCATTTTGAGTTTTTCGCATGATGGGGAGTCTGCTTGAGGAGTCCGATGTGGGTGTTACGGTGCATCGTCTGGGCGATTGGTCCCCCGCTTGGCTGTTCCTGGACTTGCCACGCCACTCCCTAGAGTCCCTACAGTCTCCTTCGAAGTGGACTGTGAGGTTGGTCATCGATGATGGCAGCGAGCTATCATGGTCGCCATCTCCCGGCAGCCCAGAGAACACTGCATGGGCCGAGCTCTTGGACTTCTGGCAAAGTACTTAACCAGGAGTTCAAGCTGTTGCTGTGATTAAACCATGGCACGGAGCCAAGACGGAACGCATCCGCAGCGCCGAGCAGCAGCATGACGAATGCTTGGCCAAAGTAGAGGCAAGCCGAGACTTGTCTTCTCAAAGGTCGGTATGACCGCAGCCTGCAGGCAGCCAGGCTAAAGCTCTTCGACTCGCAACAGTATGTTGAGAAGGACCACAGATGAAGTTGTAGCCCCGTTGCACGAGCGACATCCACCTCCGTGGCCCAGTTGAAGGTCCGATCCATGTTGTGGAACGCAGAAGTGGCCACCGACCCAGAGCAACTTCGTAGAGTCGAGTCGTATGACGGGTAGCCTAGGCTGCAAAGCAAGCCGATGACGAACTCCGCGAGGCCAAGGGTCCCTAAGTTTAAAGCAGAATTCTCACGCAGGCGTCTGTTACGCCTTTTTACGCATCGAAGTAGTCCAATGATGCCCTTTCTCTTGGGCACCTTCCAGTCCGAGCGGTTCGTGAGAAGCGTGGCAATCTTTGCGAGCTTTAGCCCTCAGCTTATACGATACAAAGGAGTTTAAACAGTGAAACAGAAGCAGAAGGATTCTGAGCAAGAGAAGCTGCCGTACATTGGGCGTGTTGAGGGAAGCAACCGACCGGCGTAGAAGTGCAATGGGAAGCACGGCGATTCAAGCACCCGAGATTCAATCATCCGCGATTCGAGCACCCGAGATTCACACAGCCGCCGTTCCGGAGCTGCGATTCAATTGCCAATCTCGCTTCAATCGCCCAGCATTCAAGCAACAACCGCTTCAAGCACCAGCAGAATCAAGCACCGAAACTTTGGGTTCGGGTCTCGGCACTTTTAGGGAGCATTGCATGTAGGGTGAGAGACTTTGCGGCATGGAGGGTTTCAAGGTTTGGGGTTAGAGTTTCGGCATTTGCGGTTTTGCGTTTTAGGGTTTGGGGGCATAGATCTGGGATTTCAAGTTTCGGATTTAGGGTCTCACCAGACCGGGAGAGTTGAGTCTTTGGTGTTCCACGCTTTGGTCTTTTTAGGTTTTTTGATTTTTGCGATAGGGGTGAAGGGCTCAAGGTTGGCTTTCGGCCAACAGTGGGGTTTTCGGTTTTGGAGTTTGCGGTGTGGGATTTTTAGGGTTTAGGAAGTTTAGGATGATAGGGTTTAGGTTTCGTGTTTGGGTTTCGTGGTTAGGCTTTACCTCCATGCGTGTTTTCGGGTGTTCTTCGCCACGACGGTGTGCGCATTTGTGCGGGTGTTGCGCACGTCTGCGCGGCTGGTGTGCGAATCTCTATGCGTGCGAATGTCGTGCAGGCACGCGAAAAAAAGGCAGTGCATGAATCAGCGGTGTGAAAAACTGTCGGCCAGTGTGTGAGTCGGATGTTTCCAGCACGAATCGGCCACCTAGACCGTCACGGCGAAGTTGCCAACAGCCTCGTCAAACCCCGCCCCCTGTCCAAAAACCTCAATCCTATCAATGAGTGCTTCACGCTTGAGTTCCAGCCTGAAGGGGATGCGATAGTCGAAGCTGGTTGAAGCTGCAGTTCTCGCAGCAGATGACGCTTCTAGCTAACAGTGCATCGAACTCGCGAAGCATGTTGCAGGCGCTTGCAGAGGCCGATCAGGCGGCTGCAGCTTGCACCTCCCTCAGACACGACCGGGTGTTTGGCAGACTCAGGGTCTCTACCTTGAATAAGGTGAACGCTTAAAAGCTCAAGACACCGCACCATTAATTGAGTCAGCGGAACCTGACGGACGAGGCATCCACAAAACAAGGTAAGCTGAAGGCTGACATAACAAAGCTCCTTGAGAGGCGATACTTTCATGGAAGAGGATCCCACTCAAGCGGATGCGAGCTATCAGGCTCGACTTCCTGTGCATCTTGACAGGAGAAATCTTGCGCATTGCAGGAAGATCCTGAACTGTATCGCAACTTCTTGGGGCACTCCATCCGCCAGTTGCAGGACCTTGTGCTCGCCCTTTAACCAGCAAAGACCGGCAAGCTACGCGGATAGGACTATGAGTCTGTGAGTGCTTTCGCAGGACGAGCCCGCTGAATCCGAAAGTACAAAACACAAGGAGCGCGAGGCTGTTCGGTGGCTTCTGTGCTGTTTTCCGCATAGTTGCCTGCATCTGGTACAGGATCTCAAGCAGGATTTTCCGAACCACTCGCCAATTCGCTTACGTGTCCTTTTCCTAAGGAGGAGCAGTGTGGAAGCAAGCAGTCAACCGACTCACAGATCCTGTCGCACTCATCTTGTTGGCGCTCTTGTGAGTTTCAACTTCTACATTGGTGACCCTGTGAACTTTCCCTGTCAACTTTCAACAGGAATCTTCTTTGTGCAGGTTCGCAGCATTTCGGCGACTTAGCGTCGTCAGTTGTTGCATGCAAGCACAAGGGCAAAGAGCGTCCCTGATTGCATTATCATTGCCTTGCCCTGGAAACAGAATATATCCACACGCTAAATTATCAGCTTATGGTTTCCACCCTCGTGAAAATGCAAAAGCCACCTGTCGAGCAGGTCCACACTTCACCGGCTTGTCGCAGCCACAGTGCCAACATTGCTCAGCTCAGCGTTAGATTGCTGTTGGATTCTCATGTTGTCATTGTCGAAAAGAGGTCAAAATGGCGAGCTGGTGCTTCTGGACAGCCCGCCCGCATCTTTTCATCAGGCAGCGTTCGGCAACTACTCGTCAAAGACGCGACACAGCTTGCATGCTGGAAGATCGACAGGTTGGCATCTGGAAGATAGCCGACGATGCTTCAGTTGTCGTTGGCAGTCGTCTGCTTTGCCTGGGGAATTCGGAGCATCCGAAGTTGACGCTGCACCTCTGAATGCAGAATGGAGCACTACGCTATGCTGAAGACGCCGGTCGCAGTGCCCAAGGTATCTGCACGACGACAGAGTGATCTCAGACACGATGTTGTTGGAACACTGGGTTGAGTGTCTCATGGCCCGAGCCTCAGAGAATTCCGCAGTACCTGGGCGGCGCGCCTGAGCGAGCGTGGACCCTTCCAGGCTGGGGTTCCGGAGTTCGCCATCTGCTTTCACCGGGACGGCGCTGTTCAGCGCGGGCCCCAGGATGTGACCGCTCATGCCTTGCTTTTGACGCTGGCTCACCTGTTTGTGCCAGACATCAACGCAGACGGCGAGATCTGCTTTTCTGCTGCCTCTGCACTCAGGTCATACTCACTGTACAAAGTGTCGGAGTTACAGAGCTTCCTTGAAGAAAGAACCTTGCCAGCGTTTACCTCTGGCACTGTAGCGCAGTTTTGGCTTTCCGGCAGTGGATTTCTGCTTCGCCTGAGGAATGGAGCTCGGCAGGCGGGTGCAGATGACGTGCGCATCCAGAGCTTGTTGTTGGCAGCTTGTTTGATGGACCCTCTTGCATCAAGCCTAACCAGGTTAGAAGTGCTGCGCTGGATCAAACGACAGCCGGGATCTCAAGTGCCTCACTTTGATCCGCACGGCCAGCAGTGCCGCATTCGCTTCAGGTGTCGACTTGAGGGCTGCAGCTATTGGCTGTCAAAGGACGCAAGGGAAGCAACCGACGACTTGCATTACAGACTGCTGTCAGGACAAGAAAGATTCAGCTCTAAAGCTCATGAAGCACCTCAGCCGCACGCATGCCGACAGTCGAGCACAGCTTGTGCTTTCCGTGCTTTCCGAGGTTGCCCAGGGCCGATGCTACGCCCAACAGCCAGCGGCCTGAGAGTCTCAACGTAGTACTAAAGTAGGACATCGTCACAAGCGATTTGCAATCGGTTTCATTCAGATAAAGGTGCTCCGCCCCGTGAGGTGATGCACGCCCCCTTCCGCTTTGCAGTTGTAGCCTTGGACTTCCTGCCCTCCCTGGCGACGAGTCGTTTGAGACAATTCGGTTCACGCTGCAAGGTTCCGCCGCAGCACCACAAGGGTTGGTCCTGAAAAACACTTTCCTGGACATCCCGGATGAGGTGCGGCTTCCTTCCGGTCCTGTGATAGCTCGGGGCTCGTTATTCGTCGCTGCGGAGGACTCGGAGTGTGGGGACTTCCGTCGAGCCAAGCACTTAGGGCCTCGGGTTTTTTGTCATGAGATGCTTGAGACCCAGGCCTTGAGCTGCCCAGCTCGTTTTCTGTGCGAGACGATGGACGACCTGCTCCTGGGCAGAAGTCTGTGATAGCTTCGTGGTTATGTGAAAAGATGTTGTGAAAGCAAGGTCGCACGTGTCCCCTCTCTGCGGCAGAGTTTCTGCGCTCTTCTTCAGACGTGCCGTGTCCTCCCCGTGCTGACCTGAGACTCAGCGAGAAACTACGAAAAGAGGCTTTCCTTTTTATTGTTTGCTCTTTTTGCTTTTACCTTTTTTTTCTTTTTTTGACGTTGAGAGTGTGCCCTGCCCTTTTTGGCACCGGGAGGCCGAGCCTCGCTGCCGCCCACTTCTTTCGCCAGGTCTTGGACCTGGAGGTGCCGGAGCCGCCGAGTTCAGAAAGCACCGGGCAGAGAGAGAGATCCGCGTCAACGGGGGGGGGGGTGTGATCGCTGACCTGTTTGGCCGTGTGGAAGAAGAGAGAGAGAGAGAGAGAGAGGGAAGAGGCGCGGGCGGGGGCGACCCGATCTTGCTGCAGGCCTTCAGCACGAACTCGGGCATCGTCTGGTCAGGAGCCGTGGACGAGACGGGAGGGTCTTTGGCTCAGGAATGCCAATCGCGGCGTTGAAAAGCGCGGCTTGAGAGCCTTGGCCAAGCCTGCAGGCCAGCACCAGATGGCACCGGCGGACGAGCGGCCCTGCAGGCCCGCGGACACCTTCGAATGTCCTTCGGATGCCTTCGCAACTTCTGTTTTTTTTTTTTTTTTTTCAGGCATACAGCCACTTGGGCTTGGCGCTCTGTGAGCTGCCAAGTTTCGGTCGTGAGGAGTATGTCTCAGATTTCTCGGAGAACTCGGCATCCTCGGCTTCAGCCCAAGCAT